ATTAGGATTGCTTATCTCGACAATAAACTATTGTCGCTCAAAACCAATCTGAGCTTGACATCACCAAATACTCTTCACGAAAACTTGAGAAGTTGATAGCATTTTGATCTAAACTTTTGAAAAAACCAGGACGATGTCGAATGCAAAGGCTTGCGTTGAAATTGCATGCCTATCATTAGAAAGGAAAAAAGATCTATCATCAAAATATGAAGGTAGTCACTAAATTTAGATATAAATTTACATTTTTTATGGAGCTTATGGTATGAAGGGAATTTGGAAATATGACCAAAAAATTCTTAAGGAATCTTCAACTTTTTTAAACAAAGAAGGGAAAACACAGTAGATGACACTGTTATTTGACTTGTATGAATGAAAAGATGCATATCCGTAATTAGTGCCGGGGAATTTCATAAAGCCGCTTTTAAGCTGCGTAGACAGTTAGACAAGAGAACTGCAAATCAGTTAATCTACAAGGCCAATTACGGTAAAGCGCTGATTGCGCCTAGCTTCAAGGGGCGTGGCGAGAGGTGTATAGTTAGTTGACACACTTTGCATAGCGTGCATTTAGTGGCAACTATCGTTCATCTTGTATACACCTGGTTACGCTACTTTATGAATATTGCACTTTTATGGTCGAGCATTGCTCTAGCATCTTTTTCATGCTTAGAAAAAAGCAAGCCGATTTGCATCATGGCGTGTGTTGAACAAAAGCTTTTAGGCATGGAATTGGATCATATGCAAATTCTTCTTCGGATATTGGGTTTGGTACTCTATCGACATTTCAACCACCCGCTGTTGATCGATCAAACAAGCCTGCGAAGCTACGTTTGTATGATTATGAAGAGGATAAGGTTCCTGAGGAAATGACTATACATGGTTACAACAAGTCAGTCTCGTGTTTAACTTCACTGAAACGTTTGTCATGTTTCAAATTTCTCGTAGCAGAGATTTCTGAATTACAATGTTTAGATCAGGGACAAGCTTTACGAGGTTACCGCGTACATCGCAGGTAAAGTACTCGA